TACTCAAACGCCTTGTGCAGATTATTTTTTCTTTTCCTTTTCCTTTTTTTCCTCTTTCCTCTTTTCTATCTTATATTATACAGTATTGCAAACGCATGACAATATCCGTGGGACGAGTAAATCTTTTCGGTACGTACAAATTTCGCTATGTACGTGTTTTAAATTCATAGATTATACATAAGAAAAAGCTCGGGACCTGAACATCTTTTCGTTACGAGTACTTTCGCTACCAGCGTGTTCTCTGTAAGCGAGCTAGACTGTATATTATTATAGGCCTTACTATCAGCAACATTCACTATTCAATATTCACTCTTCACAACTCTATTCACCGAGCTTGTGAATGTGATCACACGCGTACATCGCGATATGATAAAGTCACACTACCATTAACAATGGTCCGAATTTTGAGTAGGGGAAGCTGAGTTACTTGCGTCCACCTCTGGTTAATAGCGTATAAACTCCCGCAAAGCCATCCATATTGCGCTTCGTCGAGAGTCGAGAGTTATTCATGATGTGACAAATGACGATCAATGAATAAAAGTCAATAATTTTTATAGACATGTTGTATGACTCTTTTTAGCTCCACTTAAATAATTATGTCTCATAAACATCAAGTACAAAGTATTTCTGCATTTTCTTCAATGATTTTAGATGCAATATTTGTTTGTTGTTACATCTAGACGTACACGCATACAAAAGGTAGATTATGCCTAACACCGAGTGTGTAACGACCGACATAAAAACTAACTAAAGTTTAAAGTGCACAAATGTGTGTTTGAGTTTGTTGTTAAACCTTGACACACACCCATACATTGTTAAAAGTAGGTAATGCGCAATACTGAATGTGCACCGACAAACATAAAAACTTACAAAAGTTTTAAGAGCACAAACTTGTTTGTTGTTACATTTAGACAAACACACACAGGCCACACACACACACACACACACACACACACATACACACACACACACACACACACACACACACACACACATACACACACATACACACACACACACATACACTTTCACACACACACACACACAGACACCCCCCCCCCCTCACGCACACACACATACACACAACAACAACAACAACAGCAACAGCAACAGCAACAACAACTACAAAAACAACAACAAATAGGTAGACTGTTCCCAACACTTAGTGTTTAACGACTTACTGAAGGTTAATTAAAAAGCACGAATATTTTTTTTCTTACTTCTGGACAAACACACATTTATACAAATAAAATGCAGATTATGCCCAGCACTGAATTTGTGACGACCGCAATTAAAACTTACGAAAGCTGAAAGAGCACTAACATTTGTTGGTTTTATTTTGTTTTTGGGTAAGGGTTTTACGACGCTCACAACTGCATAAGGTCATGTGAGCGCACGGGACACATTAGGCATGTTCAGTTAGGTAGGAAAATGATTTTTTAAAATATTTGTTTGTAGTTACATCTAGACACACACACACACACACACACACACACACACACACACACACACACACACAAAACACACACACAACCAATCTCTGGTAGCTCATTTGGTATAATGACGAACTACGGTACGAAGCGGATGGCCCTTGTTCGAATCCCAAAGTGGGTGTTCTTGAACGTTTTGTGGATTTTTCAAAGTTCTCAGCCCGTTTGGCTCAGTCCTATCGGAGACGGACGTTTAATTCAGAGGTCCTACCTCTTAAATTACCGAATAATATAGATGACGGTGCTAATTTCATATGTAGATCCGCTCTAATTTTACGACTGCCCAACTTTAGAATTACAAAGTGCTATCAGACATTTTTGGCCGTTTCGATTTACGAGCACTAAGAACATGAAATCAGAAACTAATTGCTCTATATGCTCCGTCAAAATCGTAAGATTATTCAGATTCATTATCAAGATAGATTTATTCAAATAATTACATTCGGAAAAGCTTGACAAAGAGTGAAACTCAATTTTTAAAGTAAAATTTCTCAAAACTGGATACTGAGTAAGAAGAGCTTTGCAATTCTAGGGTAGCGTATGGCTGAGAAACGTTAGACGAAAATCCACTGTCAGTGACAATCACACAGCATTCAAATAGCTGTGAGTAGCGGGAACATTGTGAATATTGAATAGTAAGGATGGATGTGTACAGCTCTACTTAACACTCAGCACTGCACTGTGCCGGTGATCGCATACAGTCTATCAAGGTTGCCATATCAATATACCCCTTACTTTGTCATGCTAATAAGAACTAATTCGATGAATACTTATTTTGACCGGCCTCTCTGGTGTAGCTGTTAGGCGCTTCGCTGTCACACGCGGGAGCCCCAGAGTTCGATTCCCCAGTGGGGATAAATTTTATCGAATGTCTCTATTTTTCTCCTGGAATGTATCCCTTTCACTCAGCCCGGGTTGGTCCTGACAGACAGGGTCGGAAACCCGCCTCCTAAATGATCTAAATCGTTTCGATTTGGGGAAAGGGGGGGGGGGGGGTGTAAAACATATACACTAAAACATCTTAAAGAATCTGCAAACATCAACAAAATATAAAATATAAATAAACACCCCAAAAAAAACCCAACACGAAACAAAACACAAGCCAACAAACAAACAAACAAAAAATCCCAAATCTATTTTGTTTTGGACTCAAGTATAAGTGCAAAACAATAAGATAATACGTCCCCTGTTATTTTATAGAGGGACGTAATATCCTCAAACGACCTGAGCGGCGCTTGGGGTTATGTAGGCCAACAAGATTTAATACGCAATACAGCCGGGCCCTCAGGTGGGTGAACCCTGCACCGGTAGTGCAACCCCCCCCCCCCCCCCCACCTCTTCCCCCGCCCCAATCCACCCATCTCATTCATACCCCCAGATGTGTGTGCGTGTGTGTGTGTGTGTGTGTGTGTGTGTGTGTGTGTGTGTGTGTGTGTGTGTGTGTGTGTGTGTGTGTGTGTGTGTGTGTGTGTGTGTGTGTGTGCCTGTGCGCGTGTATGTTTGTTTCTGTATGTTTGTTTGTACGTGTATAAGTGTGTTTGTGTTCATGTGTGAGAGTGCATGTCCATGCTTATGCGTACGTGTGTACTAACATGCTCATGCACGTATGAGTATGTGTATGATGTGCATGTTTCATTGTGTGTTTATGTCGGTGTGCGTGTGTGCGTGCGTGTGTGTGTGTGTGTGTGTGTGTGTGTATGAATGTGTGTCAGTACCGCATTTGTGTATGCTTTGATTGTGTGTTTGTTTCATCCCGTGTGTGAGTATTGCCTGTGTGTATGTGTGAGCATATGTGCGTGCGTATGTGCGTGCGTATGTGCGTGCGTCTGTGTGTGAGTTCCGGCGCCTCTCCCCCGCCAAGGCGCACTACCCGGACCCTCACGTAGGCCGCGCTACAGACGCCGGAATAACTGCGCGATTTACGGCCCCTGCTAATCTCCCAGACCGCGGAGAATTCGATCTACGATTCCTCCGAGGCGGTTATCTCCCTTCCTGCGTCTCCTGGTATATGCCAGACTCGTGACGTCACCACGTAGATGCCCGAGAAACATTTAAAATGCCACAGTTATGGGTTGCAAAACAATCACCTCTGCCTGCACGCTCTGAGCTCTCGCGCTAAGTAGACCGCGGGAAATGTCTTCAATAGATCTTTTTTAAAAGCACGTGGAAGAAATTGGAGTTCAGCGTGATTTCTCGTAATGTTTTGACCTTCTGTCGAAGTGCCTGGGAGGTGTCATGCAGCCATGGATAGGGTTTCTGTGTTCATTTCCGTTGTATAGAAGACACACCCACAACCTATAAGCCCACTCAATTGAGGACTGACCAGAAGAAAAATGTTCGATTCATAATGTGGAATGCTTTGTTTTTGTTCCGTGTGCTTCTGCCACCTATGTTGCTTATCCACCCTTGCTTGTTCCGCCCGGCACATCAGGAGAAGAAGCAACTTGATCAACCATTTGATGTCATGCAGTGGGATGAACAACTACTCGATACAATATTCAACTATTCTCTTGACCCCCTCGCCCTTCAAAGATCAGCACTGTCAGATAGTAAAACCACGCAATTAACGGATAATAATATGCTAACTTTGAAATCTTTAAGTCGTGTTCGTGAAGATATGCTACCAAGTAAAGGAATGAGCCTTCCTGCCAGAAGACGTTTTCGCCGCTTGAAGAAAATGTCAAAACTTGTTAATGAACCTGCTGATGACGGAGTATTGCTTTCAGAAAAAGGTTCCAGTGTTTTCTCAGCCCCTGTGCCGGCACAGCGTGTATTTGTAAGTGACACAGCTGGCCCGGACTGCCCCGAGGACGGGTCTTGTGAACGGTTAGTTTCCTTGCCCCTTGAGTCTCAAAGTGTAGACAACATCCAGGTGGAATCAACTGGAAAGGCCACCCAACATATAACATTACAGAAGGAGAATCAGGCCAAAACATACTTGTTTGAAGGTATACAATCTATAAACAGTCTCGACGGGACACGACTTTCGAGAAGAAATCTTCTACAATTCAACGACCAAACTCGTGATAAGATTCTAGAAAGTGAAAACCTCACTCAGAGAAACAATTCAATAGGGACCGATATGACAAAAGAAGCAGGCCCCCAAAAGACAAAGAAGAAAAATCGGATTACTCTCCGCTACAGCAGAATCCGGCGGTCATTGAACAGGTCAGAGACGCCAGCACAGGCCCGCACCGGCCTACATCTCCACCAGCACAGCACTGAGCCTCCGGACTACATGGTCCGCCTCTTCTTTCTCCTCTCCGAGACACACTACGACATTCTCGTCAACACTGTCGTCACTGCCTTCCTCAACATCAACGAAGGAGGTAATAATCATACATGATGTGTTCGTCGGTTGCATGAACGTTACTAATGAATGAATGAGCGAATGAATGAATGAATGAAATAATTAAAAATAGATAAATAAATAAATAAGTTCCACTGTTATTATTCCCACAGGGCAGATTTGGTTTACAATAGTGTACACATTGATAGATTTACATATAT